AGGGAGAGGAGAAAGGAAGGAATAAGGGAAGAAAGGAAGAAAAAATAAGGAAGGAAGGAATAAGGGAAGAAAGGAAGAAAAAATAAGGAAGGAAGGAATAAGGGAAGAAAGGAAGAAAAAAATAAGGGAGAGGAGGGAGGGAGGAAGAAAAATAAAGGAAGGAAGGAAAGAAGGAGAAAAGGGCCCCTCACTGCTGGGCCTTCAGACCCCAGGGCATTTTTTCCGGCCTTCGCCTCGCCAGCTCCTTGGGGTCAGCTGGAGCGCCATCTGAAGGGGGGGTATGTGTGGAGGAGATGCCGCAATCAACTGGTGTCCAAGTTCTCGCATGACATCAGTTGGCGGAGGGGGGGGGAGAAGCCTCATTGGACGAAGACTGGCGGGTGAAACACTTCCTTCCTGCCACGAGGGTTTAAAAGGTTTATTTGGGACGTCCTTATCCAGAGCGGCCAGAATTTGGAGGAGGGGGGCCCCCAGGTAGAGGATACCGAATTGCATGCCTTCATTTTGCTGGTGGCTTAAATGCAAAAATGCATTTTGTGTGTGTGTTGTGTTTCGGGGACTTTCTCTTGTGACTTCACTTTATTCTGTCACTCCGGGAGAGCGACAGACGGCGGTGTAAACTGCTATTTTGCAATGCCGGATGTAATTGTTCCGTTTGCACTCAGTGAAAGCTGGGTTGTTGTGTTGTGTTGTTTTTTGTGCAGCTCCTTTGGACTTTGTACGTTAGTAAAAATTTAAGATAGTGTAGCTTTCTCTTTCCTTTTCAGCCGAGTAGATTTTGTCCCTTCTAAAGCAGAAGGTGCATTTTTGTGCGGGAGGTAAATATGACCGAAAGCTATATAATAATAAATAATATCGAGGCTCTTGAGATAAAAAATCCCAAAATAGTGAAGTTTTAAGGAACAGAAGCAAAGAAATTGATTTTGCAGTAAATAAAAACAGGCAGAGCAGTTCCTGTCTTGTATTATATCCTCTTTTAACCTCATAGATCCAGGGAGAGAGATATTTATAACATTAAGCGTGCACGTATGCTTGTGTGAGATGCTATAAAAGGAACACGTATGTTTCCTGTTGCACTTTGAAATGGAGGTACCCATTATCAGTGTTGTGCCAGCGTTAAAAAAAATGTTTGGGGTTTATCTGGCCTTGTAATTTTGGGAGGGGGCGCGCACGATATCTTTAACTCTGCAAAAGAGAGAAGGCATGTGAAATTTAATTTTCCTAAGGGAAGTTAAGTAAAATTAAGTGTTTGGAAAGCTGCAATTAAGCTTGCAGCTGAACTGTTTTACGGTTTTGCATTTAAACTCAACCATTTTGGATGACAAAAATATTCTCATTCCCCCCACACACCCCAGTCTATTACGGAAATGTCTTACACTTGCGGTATTCCTATCTTAGAGGGATGAGTATCTTCATAAAACCGAAGAGTGTTTCTAAATAAGCGGAGTTGTTTTGCACCAAAAAGTAGAATCGTAACTTTAAGAAATGCTAGATTGGATTCTGCGAGGGCTGAACCAGTTTCTGAGCTCCCGATGCGGAGGCAACTCCACGCCCGTCTTCATTAGCGTCGATGAAATCAAAATACAGGTTTTGTAACTCGACAACGTTGCCGTGATGAAAACTCAGCGGGGTGGTGGTGACACCGAAGGTGTTTCTGCCCTGTGATTCATGGTTTTATTGCGTTGCCTCTTTTGCAGCAAAACATGAACCGCGGCAGGCAAGAGTTGTCGTGATTCCCTAATGCAGGTGGTCCTCGACTTACGGCCGTGAGGAAGGTGGGGGGGGGGCAGAATTCCCATTGCTACCGAAGGCAGTTGTTAAGTGAGTTTCATTTGATTTTGGTGCTTAAGCGAAAACAGAATCATAAATCTATGCAGGTTGCAAATGCCTGGATTTTTGACTGCCAGGATGCTGCGGTGGTTGTAAGTCTGAGGACTGGTCACAAGTCGCTTTTTTCAGTGTTGTTGTAACATCAAACAGTTGTTAAACAAATAGTTGTAGGTCAGATATGTCTAAAGAGAAGGAGACGTGCAATGTTGAATTGTTTTATTGCCATCTCTTGCTTCGGGATCCCAGCCACGGTGTTCTTATCATACAGGTTAGCTCCTCGACTTACGACCGCAATCGAGCCCGACGTTTCTGTGGCTGAGTCAGGCATTTGTTAAGGGAGCTTGGTCCCCATTTCACGTCATTCCTTGCCACAGGCGTTAAGTGAACCACTGCAGTGGTGAAATTACATAGTAAGGTGGTTTGTAAAGAGAATCCACCTTCTTGGCTGGTCGGGGGGGGGTCGCGAAAAAGGGATTCGACGTGACCCCGGGGGACGCTGCAATCGTCGTAAATGCGAGTCAGTTGACCAGCGTTCACGTTACCGTGGAGATGTTGCAAAGGTGGTAAGGGCCAGCTGGTTTTTTTCAATGCCGTTTAAGACTGACCAGTCTTTGGATGAACTGTGGTACGTGAAGAACTCCCTGTAAAGGTGGCAGGTGAAGTTTATTAGATGCTCCTTGTCTCTGGAATGTCTCCTTGGGAAGCTGTAGGAGTCCCACATTCTTTGCAAAAAAATCCCAGCAAGCATCAGATACGAGAAGGAACGCTAATCATTTTGCATTTGGGAGGGATTTTTAAAGACGATTCTTCACTCCTTGTCAGCCTATCCAGAAAGGCACTTTTAAAAAACCCCCACATCTCCCTCTTAGCAATAGCAGTTAGACTTATATTCCGCTTCATAGGGCTTTCAGCCCTCTCTAAGCAGTTTACAGAGTCAGCAT